TAGTAATGAGCATCAAATTTTAAGATAACAGAACACTGTCTTTTAAAATCAGGTAGTGAGGGCTAAGAAGACAGTTTAACGGGCAATGTACTTGTTATGCAAGCTTTAGGATCCATGCTGGATCTCCAACACCCATAATTAGGTGAGTGAGATAGGTGGGTCCCAGGTTCTCACTGGCCAGCTATTCTAAGCAAATCAGTGAGCACCAGGTTCGGTGAAAAAAAACCTATCTCAAAATGTAAGGTGGAAAATGATTGAGGGAGATACTCAACATTGACCTCTAGCTTCTCCACATCCCCACATAAGTGCAGAGAGAGAGAGAGACAGAGAGAGAGAGAGAGAGAGAGAGAGAGAGAGAGAGAGAGAGAGAGAAGAGGGAGAACCAGGTGGATAAGTTCAAGTACATGCAAACAAGCAAACAATAGGGTTTGCACTATAATTCTTGGTACCCTAAAGAAGTTATGTTGCATGGTAGTCTACAACCGGGCAATCCAAGCTTAATGTTTTCTCAGTAGAGCAGCTTTGAAATGGTATCGTGTCTCTTGACAATTATTTTTTTCCACTCATAGGGATTTACATAGTTTAAAAGCTTTACAAATAAACTGAATTTTCACTGAGATTGTGACATCAAAGTATTTCACCTTTGCATATTTAAAGTTGACCCGCTATGGCAGCTGTGGACAGTAATAGGCAAAGAAGAGCCACAGTAGCCAAGTTCACTGTAAACTCCAGTTCAGTGTAAACTCCAGTTCAGTGTAAACTCCAGCAGTCATCGGAACTGGAATCCAGGAGAACAAAGAAATGTGGACCATGTCTTGTGTCCTTGGTGTTTGGTAGCCAGTTTGTCTTCCTATGTCTGCATCCCCTGAGACTGAACCTCCCCCTCCACGGTTGCCTCTATGTCGACCTTCTGAAGCGCAATGAAAATTAATACTCATTATGATATTAAAATTATGACCATGTTGGATCTTTAGGAAGTGAATAGAGGGAGGCTGGGGATAAAGCGTGGTAGAGAAGTGCTTGCTGTACAAGCATGAAGACCTGGATTCGATCCCCAGCACTCACATAGGAAACGCTTGCAGGTGAGACAGTATGTGCCTGTAATGGTAATGCAGGAAATTGACTGCAAAAGGCTCCCTGGGGTTTGATGGCCAGTCTAGACAAGTGATACCAACTTCTGGCCTCCACATGCATATGCACATACATACCAGCATGTACACACACATATACACATATACACACACAGAGGTGATTAAAGCTCTATTCTCATACATGGATGAGTCTGTTGATATAATGAATGAATTAATGGCCAGTGGATTCTTTCAAGTGGATTCAGTATCCAGCTGCTTTGGCTGGGGCTGCTGTGTATCCCTTTCACTCTCCATGCAACACCTTTCGTACCCCAAGACTCTGCCAGCAAGAAGCCCATTGCTAGACGCAGCCTCTTGGCCTTGGATCAGAACCAGAGCCTAGCTAAGGTTCATCTTTGTAACTCACCTAATTGATACTATGTTGATAGCAATGGAAGACCAAGACAACTTCCATTCATTTATTGGATTGCATCATCCTTTCTTACGGTTCTCCTCCCTTTCCCAAATTTCCTGATACCTCACCCCCATCCTAATTTCATCACGATGCTCTCCCTGCTTTAATTGGGGTGTTCCACTTTTAACATGCGGCTTTAGCTATTTCACAGCAGAGGCTTCCCAGAGATGACAGTCGTCAAGAAGGTGGCTTCTCCACACAGCCCACACAGGTCACCTAGCCTAAGAATGTGACCTGTGTCTCACCACGAGACTCTTTCCTCTGCTGATGCTGCAACAGTATAACTTCTCATGTCTGCTTCACATGTGTTTTCAAGAATAAGCAGGTGTCTTACTCAGTGGAGGGAAGTGTCTTTTCTCACAGCCCTGGAGGAGGGGGCTGCAAGCATAGGTTAATTCTTCTGGGAACTGCTCTTTTCCTTGCTTGTGGTGGCTTCTGGGGCAGATGGGACAAAGATCTCCTTATGAGGATCTAATTCCATCATGGCAGCACCACCATTTATGACCTCACCTCAACCTCAGGACATCCCAAAGGTCTGCCCCCCAAATACTATCACTTTTAGACAACCAGCTTCAAAGCAGGAATTTGGAGATTTGTTCATTTCGTAACAGTGGGCGTTGAAAAAAAATGCGTGCCTTGTGAGGTTTTTTTTTGAAAGTATAAAGTGATTTGCAAATTTAAGATTTCTTTTTAAATTAATATTGTTACTTTTTTCTGTCAAGTTTCTAAACATTTCCCCAGAGCCCTGGTTTCTAAGGAAACCAAATTCTTCCCGAGCGATATTCAGAAGCAGAACTCTGGTGCAATGTGAAGTCTACGATGTCAAATCTTAAATGTCCAGCTAGTGAGGCCTGTGACAGCAACTGACCATCCACTGATGCTGATGCTCCAGCTCCACTGCACCTCTGTCCCATGGCCACGCACATATTTTCATTTTAGAGAATCCATCAAGACCTTAAATATACCACTGTAGAAAAAGACCTCCCAAGAGTAGGAAGCCGGGCAGATGGGGTTCAAGGGAGGCAGAGGAGCAGGCAAGGTTGGGCTGGAGTGCCTGGTCAGGAGGTGAGATGGTGGGCGGGGTAAGGATTATGGCCTGTCCTCCAGCAGCTGCAGAAGAGACAAAGTGGTGACAAGTGGTGACAAGCTGGCCATCGAAGGGAGGGCGTCACTGGAAGGTGGAGCAATGTTAACAGATGAGCAATGTCTTTTACCCCTTTGTAGTTGATGCCACTTAGCTTGGATGTGGAGCTGGTGACATGGTGCGTGGGTGGGCCCATGCTGATGAGTAGTGGGCACCCAGGGAAAGCTGAATGAGTGTTGAGTAAATAATGAGGTGAGTGCCTGCAGGGCATCCATGCTCACCTTGCCCCTCTGCTGCAGTCCTCCTAAGGTAGTACACCCCCTGGTTCTGCAGAGGGTCAGATATTGAAATCCACTGGGGCTCTAGAAACCCTTTGCATTTCTAGAAAAACAAAGAATGTAGAGAATTTGGTATCACTTGCCAAGACAGGATGTCTGGGGAGCTTGGCTCACTGCAGGATAGATTGTTTAGACGACATGGTTGTCAGGAAATACTGCCATCTTTGTTGTTTTCCTGTCTTTTCACTCTTTGGGTTGTTTTTTTATTGCTCCTGAGTGCCTTGCCTTCTAGATTGTCAGTTTGCTTTGCAAGGGAAACATTCTCCAAGCACATTATTGCTTAGAACAACAACAGGTAATAGAATAAAACTCCAAAACACAGGTCTTTTATAGCTGCAGTTGTTTTTATTGTCATTATTAGCTTTTTGCAGAGACGGTTTCAGTGGATCCATTATTACACATTAATTGCCATGACTTGCAGAAAGTGAATCATATCTTCGCGTCTGTGTGTGCCACTGCTAACATCTATCTTTTGTTGTATTAAAACTGTAAAAACAGGAGTAGTTTTAAAAGCTGGTTTATGGTTTTAATATTTCTAAGAAATATATGTTTTATGTGGTTTTGGAAATTTGGATTTTTTAATAGTATGTCCCTTGAGTTTCTTTCCACAATGCCTTAATTATTTAGGTAGGGCACTGTTCTTTCAGTGATACATGCATTCTCAAGCTTTGAAGGTAGTTGGTTGTCTCTGTCTTGTTGATTCATCAGGGTTGCAGCGGCATAGAGTGGCAGGGTGAAAGGTGTGAAATGGCAGGGTCAGAGCCAGCATATCTACCTGCCCTTAACTATGGCCACTGTAAGTTCACATTTGGATGTGTATTGAAAATACCAAGCCCACCAAATGAAATATAAAACTCAAAGTAAGTTAGAATGAAACGTTGTCACCAGCTCCATATCCGAGCTGTGTGATGCAGTGCCCTCCTTTTCATTATTTTATTTTGAGTCGGGGTTTCACCATGTAGCCCAGGCTAGCCCCAAACTTGCCACCTTCCTGCCTCCGCATCTCAAGTCTTGGTTTTGCAGGTATGCATCACCACACCTAGCATAGTGCCTTTCCCCATCCTCATTCTTTTCTGTAAGTCCCCAGTGCTTTGAGAGTCTGATAACTTTGAAGGGTGTGCACCTACTCATTGCTGAAAAGAGTTGATTAGATTCATCCACTCGTTTACATCAGGAGAAAGGCCAAGGTCCAAAGTCCTAAAAGGCACTCATGTACCCAGTGTCTTAGGGCCTAACATTGACCAAAACTCCAGACCCCTGCTGGGAGGCCAGTATATTGCTCCCAAACTTCCTTGTCATGTAAGACCTTCCTAACCCCTACCCATACACACAAAAGCATCAGTCCAGTGTCATCTGCTTATATTAGATGATGCTTAGTCAGGGAGGCCATTTCGACTTTATATTTTCACAGCAGAATAGATAATAGAGACCAAGGTCAAGAAAGACTTCTTAGGAATGGCTATGCCACAGTCTTGGGGTTGTTTGTTTGTTTGTTTTTGTGTGTGTTTCTACTTTCCTTTTATTCTACCCATATTTACTGCTGTGACATAGGTACCTTTTCTAGGGATTGCTCCAGGGGAAATTGTTGGGCAAACTCTAAATTGAGAATTGGGTTCATGTTTTAAATTTACTTTTAAAAACAAAGTTTGTGGACTGGAGAGATGGCTCAGTGGTTAAGAGTGTTGGCTGCTCTTCCCGAGGTCTAGAGTTCAGTTCTCACCAACCAAGTGGTAGCTCACAGCTGCCTCTAATAGAATCTGATGCCCTCTTCTGTCATGCAAGTATTTGTGCAAATAGAGCATTTATATACATAAAATACATAAATACATACATAAATAAATAAATAAATAAATAAATAAATAAATAAATAAATAAATAAATAAATAAATAGAAATGCCAGGCCAGGTTTTAAAAACAACAACAACAACAACAAAGTTTGCTCTTTTATCCTACTGAGAACTCTGAGTGATGATTTTGCCTGCATCATTCCGCAGTCCTCTGTGTCTCTAATGTCTAATTTATTTGTTCCACAGTGTGTCCGGTGGAGAACTCTTTGATCGGATAGTGGAGAAGGGGTTTTACACAGAGAAAGACGCCAGCACTCTCATCCGCCAGGTCCTGGATGCTGTGTACTATCTCCACAGGATGGGCATCGTCCACAGGGACCTCAAGGTGAGGCGTTGTTCTGCAATACCATCCAACTATTTATTCCACAACCCACAATGCACCTGCTGGAGAGGGCTGGCTCTGGGGAAGGGATGAGGCTGCTTGGAGAAAAGACAGGTGGAAAGGGTGGCCATGTACTTTTTGGGTGTCAGTGCATTGAGGCCCAGAAGTAGTTTAAAAGAGAATGAAGATCAATGTAGCTGGCCACCATTTACAAGATTCTGTAGCCATGAGGCAGCCCACAGGTCCATAGAGAGGTGGTTGTGTATTAATTCAAGAACTTCGAAAAGAGCATCCTGTACATGGCAGGAAAACCATGGAGACCCTTCATCCCCAGTGCTGGTTAGGTTGTGGGGTGTGTATGTGTGTGTGATTTTGTTTGTTTTGTCAGTTTGACACAAGCTAGAGTCATCAGGGAAGAGAGAACCTCAACTGAGATAATGCCTCCATAAGAAGAGGCCTGTAGGCAGGACGTGGGGGCAGTGTGATCAGTGATTAATATGCGAGGGCCCAATCCACTGCGGGCAGTGCTACCTCTGAGCAGGTGGTCCTGGGCTGTAAGAAAAGTGAGCTGAGTGAGCCATGGAGATAAAGCCAGTAAGCAGCAGTCCTCTATGGCTTCTGAATCAGTTCCTGCCTCCGGGTTCCTGCCTTGAGTTCCTTCCCTCACTTCCCTCAAGGATAGACTGCGACCTGGGACTTGTAAGATGAACTCAACCCTTTCCTACCTAGGATACCCCCAGCGGAGCTCTTCAGGGCCATGTCCCACACCCAGCCCTTTATAAACACTGTAGCCATATGTGAAAGAGAGGGGAGAGCAGGGAGAATGTGGGGTACAGGACGAAGGTCGGCACTGCAGTAGGCACTGTAAATGAGCTTCCAGGTACAGCTGTCCTCTGGTGTCCTGGAGGTCCCTCCCTCCTCCCCTCTCTCCTCTTCCCTCTTCCCCTCTCTCCTTCCTCTCCTCCTCTCTTCCCCTTCATTCACAGTCTCCCCATTTCCTTGTTTTCCCTCCTTCCCTTCCTGTTGGTTTTATCTGGTTGCTTTTTTGAATAGAATTTTATTATGCAGACAAAACTGGCTTCAGGTCTCTGGCTTTCGCCTCCTGGGTGATGAGACTGTAAGTCATTGTCTTTTTCTGAGGTGTGGGTATAGTGACTCTTCATCTATTAGCACTGAAGAGTTTGGGCCTTATAGTGGCCACCTTCGTGTCCCATTCCCTTCCCCTCATCCAGATTTTAGTAGCTGTCACACACAAGGACTGGGAAGTCAGTGAGAGCAGTGCTGTTGAGCCCAGGTTGTGGTGTGACTTCATGCTACAGTGTTACAGGTCCAGCCTCCACACCCTACTGTGTGAGTGAGACAGATGTCCACCCCCAGAACATATGTGCACCACTCAACATATAAACACAAGGATGACTTGCAAGCACGCTGCCCTTAGCAGGAAGTCAGCTAGAGTCAACTATAAACATTTGTTAAACAGAAGTTGAGCATCTCTCCATCATCTGCTCTTGGGTATCAAGGAGTAGAATGGCACAGCTCTCCCTTCATGAAGACTCCCCTTTGGGATGGGGTGTGGCTTGGTGGCTGAGCACTTGCCTAGCATGTTCAAACTCTAGGTCCCATGCCCAGCGCCACAACATTTTTTTTATTAATAATTTTTTCATTTATTTTACATACCAACCAGAGTTTCCTCTTCCTCCTCTCCTCCCACCCCCCACCTCACACCTCCCATCTACCCCCCTCCCCATCTACTCCTCTTACATCTCCGTTCAGAAACAGGCAGGCCTCCCATGAACGTCAACAAAGCATGGCACATTTAATTTGAGGCAGGACCATATTTTTTTTTAAAAATCATTTTATAAAGAAAAGATGTACTCTGGAGTTTTCTCTTTTTCTTTCTATGTATCATTTTCTCTCATCATTTTTCTGGTTCCATTTTTTCCCCTTTCCATAGTCATCTTAGGACCTTCTAGAGATCTCCTTTCCGAAATGTGAAACTGTTAACCTCAATCAGTGTTGGGGAGGTGCGAGGAGGTCAGTGCGATTTCTGTGTTCTGGCTCTGCCCATAAGGACTGTGATCAAGCAGGTCTGCAGAAGACCCATGAATTTGCCTTTCTAAGTGAGTGGTGATGCCTTTCAGGTGACAGTGAGGCCAGTCTGGGGACCCCGCTTGAGGAAACACCAGAGAAAGAGACATAGGGATGTCAACAAGCCCTTCTGGCCTCTGCTATCTTTTTGCTAGCAAGTGGGCTGTGAGTATGATGAGCTCATCCTTGGAGCCCCAGGCTCTGCTGGGTAAGAGAGGAGCTAGGTCAGCCAGCCCTTGGCCTCCCTCCATGCGGAGCGGCACTCCTGCCCTGCTCTTTTGTGCCCCCGCCACATGCCACGTCTGTGCTTTGAACCTCCAGCGGTTGCTAAGCAAGTTAGTGCTGCGACTTCAGAGAGGCGGTGTGCAGGGCCGTCGGCACTTCCTAGGAAAATAATAAACAATTAAGAATTATCCAGGAAGAGCGGTGTTCGTGTCCCCCTTAAAAAGTGGGTCAGCGAGACAGGAGACCATTTTCCATTTCTACCTAGAGCTGCTGACAAGTGCTTGCAGCTCTCAGCCTGGGGCACTTCGGGAACACCAGGCCCTTCCGGAAGTGCATCCCATGGCAATCAAAAAGAAGGGGGAAGATGATTTTGATGCCTGGGCTTACCCTTGTGGCAGAACACAGTGGCTGCGATAGGATTTTTGTGTGATCTCTTTTCAGAGGCTCCAAGGAGTTTCATCCATGTGGTGTTAAATTTTCATCAACTCCTGATAACACGAAGGCCACCCAATCTAAGCCACAGCAACAGCCAGCCTGTGGTGCTAATCAAAGCCATATGTAGGGTCTGCGATGCTACCCTAGCCCGTGATCAAACATGCCCACTTCTCCTTCCAAATAGATGTTCTTATGTGGGCCCTAGGAAACCACTAGAGACAACCCAGTGCTCTGTTTTGTTAAAGTCCAGGGAGTGAGAAAGGAAGTGTGTACGACTCCCACATGGAACTTGGATGGGTTCCTTAGCTCTGCCTTATTGATATTTGGAGACGGAGGACCCTGTGTGGGCAGCAGCCCTGGGCCCTGCAGGCTGCTTAGCAGCTCCCCTGAATTCTACCCTCTAAATTTCCAACACCCTTCCTGGAGGCATAGAAACGAAAATGTCTCTAGGCTTTGCTGGATTTTGTCCACGGAGGGACAAAACTGCCCCCTGTTGAGATGACTGGATTCATCGTGTTGTTCTGTGCAGCAGTAACTTTCCCAGAAATGTGTTGAATGAGATCTTTTTAAGGATTATTATGTAAATTATTACCAAGAAGGGAGCTTCATAGTCTAATTTGAATGTTAGCCCACAGTTGTCTTACAGAAATGTCATAATATGTAACAAAATAACTTTTCAGGTGAGCCCAGGCCCTTCAAAGGGTCCCCTTCTGGCAGGAAGAACTGTGATGTGGTTCATATGCTCTTTGTGGCCTTCACACGCACAGCCTTCATACTGCTCCTGATGACCTTTCACCCAGATCACCCCTTGGGTCATCCCTTGGCCACTTCACCTCTGCCTCTCTACCCCCACCTGCCAGGAAAAGCCTTGTTGCCATTACCAAACCTTGAGGCCACTCAAAGTATTGACCCCAACAGTGAATATCTAGTTGCTTTAACCCTCTTCGGAGATAACTGTTCAGGAAAGCATCTTACTGACCAGAATGAACCACCTGTGGGGTTAGGTGTGTGTGTTGGGGGTGGGTGCTTGGCGATCTCTTGCCTGAGTTGAACTTCCTTTGGTAGCATGAGTCATGCACGTGCTTATCTCTCCAGCTGTAGACATCCTGGGGCAAGGAAGAGTAAAAGCCAGTGGCGGTGAAATGGAGCCCTCTCTTGGCTTCTGTGACTGAGTCTTGCAGTTCATTAACGGATAATTCCTAAACCCCAAGCATTTTACAACAAGAGGAAGCCCCTCTCCCGTTTCCCAAGCATTTCAACTGTTTCAATACAGACTGGTCCATTTCAGTTTCCTTTCAAAGCCCCAACAGCATCACTTGATTTCCTTCAAATCTCACTCTTCACAAAATTGTCATGGAGACTCCCGACTCCAATTACTCTTTGTATCACTACTGCAGGTGACTGGAAATATTTTCCCCTTTGGATTCTGTTAAAGGAAAAAAAATGTTTTGACATTTGTTGCAGCAAGAAAGAAGCCTTTTTTTGAGACTGCTGCCGTAGGGGAGATAGATTGAGCCCAGCTCTGGCTCTGAGCACAAGAGGAGCAAGTGGTACTTGGAGTAGAGCAGGGGTGGGATGGAGGAGAGCACAGGGCCTGCAGGATTACTAAGAAGGACTGGGTAGAGCAGGGGTGGGGGGAAGAGAGCACAGGGCCTGCAGGATTACTAAGAAGGACTGGGTAGAGCAGGGGTCGGGGGAGGAGAGCACAGGGCCTGCAGGGTTGCTAAGAAGGACTGGGTAGAGCAGGGGTGGAGGGAGGAGAGCACAGGACCTGCAGGATTGCTAAGAAGGACTGGGTAGAGCAGGGGTGGGGAGAGGAGAGCACAGGACCTGCAGGATT